CCAAGAAATATATATTTATATACATATATAAAGTAGAAAGTTTAAAGTTTAAAACATTTCATCCATTTTATTAATATTTTTAGTGATCTGTTTGCTTGCTGTCAATAAGGTGAAGAATCTTAGAAATTCGTTGCAGACTAAAATATGATGATTTGCACACTTTGTTCATGTGTGATGTCATGTCACATTTGTTATTGAAAATTACACCCAGGTTTCTAACTTCTTTGCTTGGAGTCTCCAATACAAGTAAAGTGTGTCCCTCAGCAAGGTGGGACTACAGAGCTATACTGGCGCAGAGCAGACTTGCAATTTTTGGGGATTTCCTTTGGGGATTTTCTTTCCTTTGCTCTCAATCTTCTAAACATCTAAACTGAACAGTCTCCAACCACGAGTGTAGCGTGGATTTATTTTAATAATAAAAAATCTGCCTGCTGGTATAGAAATGTAAGACCGAGACTTTTAAACTTAAACACGGAGCACCCAAAACTGTAAAAAAATATCTGTTTATTGCACATGTCTGTACACTGTATTTACTCATTAATGACGTCCAGAGGTTGGCGCGGTAAACAAATACACTGCTTCATTTATAAATAACGACTCTGACTATATTTCTGAATTTAAAGTAAAACAAGTATAAAAATGGAGTAAACATTGAGTTTTTCTATAAACATCGCTAAATGTACCCAATGCCCAGCAAATGTCAAAGGTTTTACTTTTAATTCCCTGTTTATATTTGAATATGAATAAGCTTTAATTATTATCGTGTAAAGCTCTCTTTTGGACGAAAATAAGGAAAAGTCTTCAAACTGTCTTAATTGATGTAAAAGTCTAAGTCACCGCTGTAATCATATCCAATTCGTAAATATCCCTCTCATGCGGAAAGTGGGTGTGACGCTTATTTCCCTTTATAGCCAAAATCGAATTCTCCTTGTGGAGCGACTCATCGTGGCATATTTAACCTCGGCCTCGGGCTGATCACTTGCCATATCGAATTCCACAAGAATTTCAGGGGTGATATTCTTTGTGATCGTGTACTCAACCAACTCCACACAGTCTCACCACAGCTGTGTACGGAACTCATGGCACACTAACGAAGGTAAATGATGTAATTTAAAATCTGGTGGAACTTAATTATATAAAACATATTTTTGGAAACAAGCAAACAAGTAAACAAAAAATATAAATAAATATATAAATAATACATATAAATAAAAAGAATGAAAGAAAGATAAGAAAATAAAAAATGAAAAGAAAAATACTGCAAATGGGGTGAAAATTATTTCCTATACCTGCAATTTCACAAAAGTCAATTATTATAAACAGAATTTGACTAAAATATGCTGATCACATTAAGTCTTTAGGTTCTTATATATACTTTTTTTCACTCAGGTAGCTGACGCCGAAATAGTTCTTTTACCTCCTCTCGCCTATATTTTAATTTACTTATTTAAATAATCCCAAGGACAGTCCGCCCTCTACGGCGTATTCATTGTTAGACAGCTATACTTGATAACCAGTATGATGATTGACGTTTGATTATATACCTTCCAATCAAGCCATCCACTTTTAATAGCTTTGATTGGCACCTCTCAATCACAGGAAGTAAAAGCTCCTTTGCAGGATGATTGTGATTGACGTTTGTTTAACTATCCGTCAATCGAGCTGTCAATTTTGACAGCTTTGATTGACACCTATCAATCACAGGCGATAAAAGTTCTTTGGCGGTATGGATGTGATTGACGTATGTTTACTTTACCGACAATCAAACTGTCAAATTTGACAGCTTTGATTGGTATCTATCAATCACAAGATGTTAGAGTTCTTTTATTCTACAAAGAAATTGTAGGAGCCGTCCGCGCTAGACAGATTCCCCCGGAACTGAAATTTTTAAAGTAAGGTTTATACAAAGGAAAGAAAAGCAGGCAAAACTCATATAGTGTCATGTGCTCTCCTTGAGGGAACAAAAGAAAAATATATGTAGTTCATACATAAGCCAGTATATAACAAAAATAGAAAAGAATGAAAACAGTCACAACTATAATAGCCAACTAAATAAATGAATAAAGGAACAAGAAAATATATCGACAGAATTATTTACACATCAAAAATGCATGAAGAAAAAAATAAAAATAATAACCGTGAGGCTTTTTTTTGTTATTCTCAAATTTACTGGAGTAATTCATATTATGAAAAATACAGTCCATGTTCGAATTGCAGATATATTTTGTCTTTTTTCCTTATATTCCCCCACTTTTTCACTTTTCTGTTATACATTATAATATAAGACTTGTTAACGCAATAAATGGAAAACCCCGTGACTTATCATACTGAAATTTACAGAATCACTTTTAGCATGAGTATTAGAATACAACCCAAGGGCAAATGTCAGCTTTATAACATTTTTGGCGAAGGTTTTACCATGCTCCCCTTTCCTTCAAATGAAATGTGTCGTCTCTCCTGACGCTCTGCTTTCCGTTGTTGTTATAGCTATAGCTTGCTTGAGTCCGTCTTAACACTTTCTTGCAAAAATAATTTGTAATTTAGAATATACATGTATATTCTGGCGTTAAAGAGTCTAGATATGATTTGACTCGCTACGAGAGAAAATAATAAAGCTTGATAAAAGTATTGAGCAAATAGGCCCATGATCATTAATATAAAGCGTTTATATAAATATGTAAAAAATTTACAAATAATTAGCTTAAGTTGTTTTGGCTTCTCGATCCTAGACAGCGTCTCGACGTGAATTCCCAGAGAAAAAATGTATCGCCTGCAGGGACCTCAAATACGGTTACCACTGTTACATGGTACTCTTTTTTCATATAAATGAAATTCATGACATTTGGACACTTTTGAAATAAGTGCATTCAGTACAAAAAGTTCCGAGCATTTAAAAAAATTATTATGAGACTCCGAAGAAATTATAGGAAAAATGATCATATCAGCGCCTTTTATTATTCATTATCTGTCTTCACTAGCACAATGTGATTGAATTCATGGACAACGTCACAATCATGTTGAGAAAGACTCGGAGGTCAAATACTGTAGAATTAACCCTGTTGTAACTCAACTTCCTCTATTTTCCCGGACCCCATTACANATTATTATGAGACTCCGAAGAAATTATAGGAAAAATGATCATATCAGCGCCTTTTATTATTCATCTGTCTTCACTAGCACAATGTGATTGAATTCATGGACAACGTCACAATCATG